CTCTCGGTGTCTCTGTTATCCAGAGACACATTCCCACAATTTCGGATCGTCCAATCAACGTCTCTCGCGCTCCCGGACGATATTACGCTCGTCGCGGAGGATCCGCGCTGAGAACGGAATAAAATAAAATTCTGCCTTTGTTGTTCTCGTCCACTTCTCTCTCTCTCTCTCTCTCTCTCTCTTCTCGATGCGTGTGTGCACTCTGCTGCTCGCCGATACGAGGAGGCGATGACAAAGAAGAAGAAGAACGAGAGATAGAAGAACAAAAAGAAAGAAAAAAGGGAGAAAGAGAGTATTTGTACAGGCCACAGAGACATACTACCGACACAGTGTCAGAGAAAGATGGAAAGAGAGAGCGAGAGAGAGAAAGAGAGCTACATAGTGACAGTAGGAGAAAGAGAGAAAGAGAGAGAGAGAGAGAGACGGAGAGAGAGAGGGCAGCAATCAAAGCTGATTAAGCCCACAACTGGGGAATCTGTGGGGCCAGTGTCTCACGCCAATCTCGCCCAATCAGCCGGTTGGCCGGGGAGATTTAAAAAATAGAATGCCTACTGTCAATTGTCCCATAATTTAAATAAATCGAATAAATGGACAAAGTGGCCAATTAGAGTAGTTGCTGCTTGCTGCTTTAACGCATTATTCTCTCTTTCTCGCGGTGTCTTCGGCCCTCTGGCCCTTCCCCTCCTCCCTCCTTCGTCCCTCGTTTCTCTTCGACCATCTTTTAGCGTTCTCCTTCGAATCTCTTCTTTCGCCGCCCTCTCTCCCCATATATTGTACATATACACTCCTCTCCTACACCAAACTCTATGCCCTCTTGACTCTTACACTCGGTCGTTGTTTGACATCGCGACCACCTTGCGTCGAGGTGCTCTCTTAAGAGCGCCGTTACGCCAGCGGATGACTTAACTATCAGCCTCGATGTAACGCGCCTCTGTATATATATATATATACATGCGTTGCAATAGCTCGCTGCACTTGCGACGCGACGCTTCGCGTCGTTACGAACCGGCGAAACCGACGTCACCGGACCTTTTTCGGCGATTCTGGAAATTTATGATACATTTCTGGGTCGTTCGAGATCGCTGAGATGTGGCACAAGGTCTGAATCGCGTATAGATTCGCGTAGTAAGTACTGTTAGCTGTTAGGAAATTGTACGATTTTGTTCTGCGCTTGTCGCGAATCCTCCTCTCGGTTCAGTACCCGCCTCTGAACATTTTCGACGAAACGCGCGCACGTCGAATGCCAGGGACTGGCTTTAACAATTACAAGCAATTTACGACTTGAACAATTACCACCGACATCCGTGAACCACGTCTGCCAGGCTGCACCTGTTCGACATTCATTTACGACGGATGCTTAACAGGCTCGTTGATACGCGCTCGGTCATTAATTCGCATTAAATACAATTTAATTAACAGCTCGACCAGCCTGGACCCGACCTGTGGATATCTGCTCGTGTGTCGCATTAACATGCCCGTGCGTCCGCCGAAAATTGTTCGTTACGTTCGATCACGGCTCGATAAGACTTTAATTGAGCAACTTTGTGACGATGCTCGAACTTTTCTTCACGATCTTGTAATCGTTCCACTCTTCGTGTAGCTGAACATCGTAAACGGGGGGACCAGGCACTCTGGTTTCCGTGTAAACCTCCTCGTGAATTCCTTCAACCCTTTCGTGACAGACGAGTACCGCTTTAAAGTTTCTTTCGATTAAATTAAGACGAACGTTTAAGCAGTCTCTGAGATTCGATCGATTCGGATTACCGGTAATTTCGAAGGGTCGAAAAATCGTAGGAGAAATCAGAAACCACGATTCTACGTCTCTGGCAGTTCGAAGAAAATCTCGTTAACCGCGTGTTACGGTGATTAACGAATGATCGCACGAGGGAAGGTTAGGAGGAAGAAATTCTATTGGATCGGCGGGGTTGCACGTCGTCCTCGTCGTCCTCGAGGAGAAAAATGCACCGTATTAAGCGGCCAATTATGCGAATCTGGCTCATCTCGCCGGAGCAACGGCTGTGTAACGCATGTCTGGAAGGTAGATAAGGTATACCCCTCGTAGGTACTCGTACACCTACGTGGGCTGGCAGTCAAGAGCCGAGCCAGTCGACCAGGCAAATAACAAATAAAGCATAAACGGGAGCTACAATAAATAACTGGTGCACCGCGTTCTCAGCATATACTCCGAGCCATGGACCCTTCGGGGCCTTATTCTCTCTCTCTCTCTCTCTCCTCCATTCTTCCTTCCTTCGGTCCCCCTACGCCCCCATCCTCCCACCACTCTTCGCTACGTTCCACCACCCCCACCAGTGGGCCCCTTTAAGGTCCATATATATGTCATAACGCGGTCGCCAAGGGAGCCAGCCTTTGAGAAAAATCGTTCCTGACTTATGCGGTTGCCGTGAAAACGGATTTAGGGGACCACTCTGAATCTTATTACCTTTTTTTCGCCCTTTTTTCTTTGCCTCGGAGGAGCTGCATTTTTGAGGAATTACCGAAGTTCAGGGATTATTCCTCTCTCTTTCTTGTTCTTCCTTTTTTTTTTTGAAGAAGACGTATTTACGAGGATTTACAGTGGTTCGGAAGGTTGTTCTAGTCTCTCTCGGAATGTTGAAGTTGTCGGTGGTAAATGGTGTGAAAGGGTGTAGAGTGAATTTCACGGTTGATTATAAAAGTTCGCGGTGATTACCGAGGGTAGGAAAAGGGGTTGAAATTCCTCGAATAAATGGCTAAATAAATATTTGACAGGTAGATCGGTGATTCGTCGCCGCTGCTTTCTCGCCTCGCGCGCTCTCTCGTCGGCCCTCTTCGCATAATTGGTTACAGATGCATTATTCTTCGGCTCGGCTCGTTTCGCAGCCCATGCATAAACATTAAACTCTTACGACATGGGCGTCGTTCCTCCTTTTTTTCTTCCTCCCCCTGTTTTTTTCTCTCTTCTTCGCCTCTCTTTCTCTCACTCTCGTTCGCTGCCTCCTCTACCTTTTACCACCGGA